CCGACAGATGCCGTTTTAGAGCAGCTGAGAACAGGTGGACCGGCCCGCTCTCCGGCCATCCCGACTCGTTCTGATGGCGTGGGCTGGATCGGACAGGTGCCGCGCCAGCAAACTTGCCGTTTCAGGCGCCGGCCGTTTCAGGCGTGGGCAAAACATTCTAGCAGCTGCTCTATTTAGGCACTCCCGCACATGAGTCTGTCCTGGCTTGATGAAATGGCGATAGGTTCGGCCGCACAGTGCACAATGTAGTTTTAGGGGAGTTTGGTGATTGGATTGGGTTAAACATATTTTCATCTTTTAATATGCAGTTGTTAACTACCATAAAATCCAACTGCTACCCCTTCTTATTTCTCATTATGATTCACAGATCTCTAACAAAACGTATGCACTTTTCTATGCACACATTAAATCCTTAATCCGATTGAGTCTGCTGCGATTAGCGATAGCAAGCCGTTGTTTGGATTCCATCAATAAACCGATAACAGAAGGCATTACCGCCTACAACCGACCGCGGCTCTGCGGGCTCTCAGGTGACGACAGCGGTGCTCCAGGCGCCAGCGGATGGATGGAGGATGTCACACATCTGCGCCGATGGGCGGGGGCGGCGGCGGGGGCGGCGGCGGGCCGGTCGCCAAGGGTGCGCGGTCGGCCGCCGGCGGCCAAGGCCGACTCCGGTCAGGCTGGCTGGCTGCTCCAGAGTCGCCCTGGCGCGCCGCCAGTGAGGACCGTCAGCCGCTCTGACTAATACACGCAGCACGTGCTGACTGGCTGGGGGCACGGCCCGGCTCGGGAAGTCACCTACACAAACAGCACTATCGGCTGCTTTTGTCGCCCTAGGTCAATCATGTGATGTCGGGACTTCCTGCATCGAATGACGCTAGGCGTTAGTCGGGCCGAGCCATGACTCATGCCCTCTTTCGGATACCTGACTGATGAGTGCTGAGTAAGTTTATAAACCCGATAGGTTCTCTAATGTCAGAGGAACAAGATGCTAAGACATTCATTAAATTCCATCGCATTTCACATAAGAAGACCTCCATTTCAAAGCGCATGAACGAAATTGACAGCCGCGAGCCTACGAGCACGGCCACAGTTCTGTCTTAGTCCCGATGATTAGCTAGCAACGACACTTGTATTACAAACATTACAGAGGCCTCGTGCCTCGTGGTTTGATGTAATTAGGTACCTTATTTAAAATCCATTGTAGGTATCGTCTTTTTGCAAATGAATCGTGACCATCGTGCATCAAGCTCTTCTTTTTATCTCACGCTAGTTTTTTCTGTCAGTTCTCGAGAAAAAGACATATTTATCGTCATCCAGTCCTCCTTGTATGTAGTATGCACAACATTATATGTACGTGCATTGGGCTGCTTGGCCAACTCAAGGCCCTATATACCAACTTCTATGATTAGCGCTCACCGGCGCCCGTTTTCAGAAGACCCTCAGATGATGTGTACTCTACATGATGTCTTCGGTAGTTCTGCCGAAGAGGAGCAGCAGCTTTGTATCAAACGCTAAGATAAAACTACTCGTACATCCCGTGCTGAGTCACGACGGAACTGACAATCAAGGCAGCACTGAAATGGTGACAGGCATAGCAGATACGCTTCTGTTTTTTTTCTTATTCAAGAGAGAATCCGTCGCCTGGTATTGATGGTTATTCTGCAGCTCAGCCCGTGTAGTTATCACGCACAGAAAAATAGACGGGAGAAGACAGAAACGGAGACACAGTGGTCATGGTGTAAGCTCGGAACTTTAAATTCGGGACAGTTTACGCTCAGTTCGGCACAAGTTTGCTGCGGCTGAGGCCAGAGAAAGCGATCGTCTGTGACTATTGCTAGTCTTTTATGCGTCGCAACTCGCAAGCCCAATGGCAAGCTATCACCGAATCCAATGGTAAATCCAGCATGAAGTCCGCTGGCGTGCTACCGTATTTTTACGGCCCACTAAATATTGCGTATTGTGCAATGTTCATGCACGCTAGCAGAAGAGTTGAATTAATAACTAGATTAGTGGCCGTTGTGGCCTTCAAGAAACCTGTTTGTCTAAAAACGCTGTTCAGCATTGCATGTCCGCTCTTCCTTCACTGCTCGTTCCATGCCTAGCTCTTGAATGCCACGGCTGCTCTCGATTTCAAGCTGAGCTGCGAGTGTGGTCTCCGACTCTTGAGTCTTGAGCTTCTAGCCATGGTTTAGGCCGTATGAGTGCATAGGGGCTGTATCAAAGGTGTGGCAGGAAGGTGTTGCTGGATTGTCTGGCACCGGACTCCGCCTCCGGACGGTGGCAACTCAGTCAGCAATCAGCAGCGCTGACACCTCAGTCAGCAGCTCCGATAGCTGGAAGCATAGACCCGGGAACAGGGGGGGCAGCGGGGGCGCTTGCCCCCCCCAACTTGAGAGCCGAGGGGGCGGCGCCCCCTCAACATTGAGGCAGCGTGAAAGGATCTTTCTTCCCTTTTCCGGACTTTTTTCCTTCTTGTCTCCCATCTAAACATCATCACACGGCATTTTCCTAGCCATCTGAATGGTTTCTGCTGATACAGTATCGATTTCACAACATCTGCTATTGTCATCCCGCTTTGGTTTGGGCCTGGCCTTGGCCATGAGTTTGGCAGGCCAGATTTTATACTAGACCATTTTGAGAAAACTTTGAGAAATATATAATTCGTAATTCGTAATTCGTTTATTAGGGCTGATCCACAGGTGGCTATTACGGCCCAGTCAATACAAGCAATATGAGAGTACCTAAGTCACAAAAATCATCATAGTAAAAGACACACAAAATGTACAATGGTACTAAAAAAAAAAAAAAAACACTCAGGTGGCGACATGTCTCTATCGGAAGAACCGCATCAGCTGTGCCCTGGAGGCGGTCCCTGTCACCTCTCGCGGCAGCCCGTTCCAAGCCGCCGCGGCTCTGTACGGGAACTGCCGCCGAGCCACCGCCAGGCGGACTCGGGGCAAGTCGATCACCGCCGAGCCCGCAGCGGTGGCACGCGTGGCCCTCTCTGAGACGACGGCTCGTGGGCGAAACATTGCCCGTAGCGAGTCAGGGGCACCAGCGGCATACAGGGCGCGATGCACATTCACTGCGTCCCTGCGCGCGATCACTTCCCCAATGTTGGGCCAGCCGAGCGCGCCGAGAGCGGGGGTGATGCGGTCAAATTTACGGAGACCAGAGACCAGTCGTGCGGCAAAATGTATGACCTTCTGCAGTCGGTCCAGGCGGGATTTGGAGGCACCACCCCAGACTGACGAGCAGTACTGGAGGTGGGGGAAAACATGGGTTTGGACAAGGATTTTAAGGATGTCTGGGGAGAGGTGATGACGAATTTTGAATAATGATATGAGGATTGCGTTGCACCGGCGGATGATGGAGGATATGTGTGGCTCCCAGCTCAGGGTTTGGTCGAGGAGAACGCCCAGCACTTTGATATGTTTTGTTGGCCGTATAGTTACATCATTTACGTTAATGGCGAAGTCTTCAACTCTATCAACTGAATTTTGCGTGCCGAAAAGGGTGAAACAGGTCTTCTCCCCATTCATTTTCAAACTATTCAAGCTGAACCAGTGCTGGAGGTGCTGGATGTTCTCCTCGGCCCGGGACTTCAGCACTTGGATGTCAGTGGGATTGGAGGGTGCTGAGTCCAGGATTGGGACCCTCGGAATATAACGTACAACGGTGGTAAAATCATTGCTATAATATAGGTATAACACAGTTTACCCGCTCCGGGTGTGAGGGAGGGGTGTGGGGCAATGAGTGCACTGACGTGGCGCCCTCGGAAGGCCGGTATCTATGGGATTAAAGCTCAGCGACACTAAGGGCTTGTGTGATGCATTTGGTTATCGGTAGCACCCTCAGAATCACCGGCGTATAGGGCCCTCAGAGCCGCCGGTAAGGGGCCTTTAGAGGCATTGGTATGGGCCGCCATGCAGGTGCTGGTTCGGGCGCACAGAGGTGCTAGTGTGATTCTCTCAGAGGCGCCGGTGAGGGTCCTTACAGGCGTTGCTCTGGGATCTCATAGACGCTGGTGTGGAGCCGTTACAGACGGGTGTGGGGTCTTTAGAGCTGCTGACGCGAACCCTCTACAAACCAACAGGGGGTTCTCAGTGACCGGCACGGGGCCCCTAGGCCGGCAGAAGAAGTCTTGTGGGGTCCTTGACTCCTTAGAGACCGGCATGGTACTGTCAGACGCCGGTGGGGCCCTCAGAGCTCAGAGTCACCGGTGTGGGGCCCTCAAAAGTTTCCAGTGGGTGGCCTTTAGATGCGCAGGTGTTGACTGTTGGGTCCTCAGAGCCGCCGATATAGGGCTTTAAAAGGCACTGGTATAGGCACTCAGAGTTGGGGGTGTGAAACGCTCAGAGACACCGGTGTGGGCACTCATAGGCGCCGATGAGGGCCCCCACAGTTGCCGTTATGGGACCCTCGGAAAAATAAGTGTGTGACCATCACAGGCGGGAAATGCCCCTAGAACTGGCCGGCCCCTCATAGGCCGGTAAGAACCCTCAGAGGCCAGTAACGGGCCTTTGGAGACCACCGAGGGGCCCTTAAAATCTGCAAGATTCCCTCAGAAGCCGGCGTGGGACCCTTGTTGAGATTTTAATGTGGTTATTTAGGGCCCATAAGGTGCTCTAACGAGACCTATGAGGCCATTCTGAGTCGAAATATGGCCATCGTTAACCCTCGGCGGTCAAATGGCACCGCAGGTCCTCTCGGACCCGAGGGTCCCTTTCAACCCGATGGGTGGGGGGGGGGGTGGGGGGGGGGGGGGGTACGTGTCCCCTTAGACCCCTAACTACGCCAATGCTTCATATGCATCATGTCTGGCATTTTAGGCTCGCCCCCCCAACTTGAAAATCGTTCCCGGGCCCCTGGCTGGAAGCCCTGCTAGCTGGCAGCTCAGCTCAGCTCAGTCAGCAGCTCCGGTCACAGCGCCGACTCCGGACACGGCAGCGATTACGGCCGACCGCCGCCGTCCGGCCGGCCGGCTCACTGCATGGGTGCACCACATTGCACAGTGCACAGCCGGTGTCCGTCCGACCGGGCCCGTCACCCGGCCGGTCCTCCCATATCGCCCTGATAGCCCGGCCCGGCCCGGCACGGACTACGGCTCAGCACGGCACGGCCCGGCACGGCCCGGCACGCTATACGGTGGGGCCCCGCTGTCCAACCGCTACGGCCGGACACGGACGTGACGCACCGTGACACTGACGTCATCGTCCCGACGTCACGTCGTGCTGACGCAGCCGTAGCGCAGCCGTAGCACGGACGTAGCGCAGCCGTGGTGTGAACAGCAGTGCGGCGTTGACGGCGGTGAATACCAGTGGCGCACCGCGCAGCGACGGCTGGCAAAGTGAGCTGTGGTGCCGGCCAGTGACGACGTGATCTACCACACAGCCAGCGGGTTCGACGGCATTGAACCGTGTTGCCAAGTGGTGCCTCAATCAGGACATTATTCATCACGGGCGTGGTATTTCCGAGTCGATTGGTGTCTTCTCAGAGACGTTCCAGTACTGTAGTGCGCGCTATGGCGGATTACGAGTTTCTGGAGCCGCGCGGTCTGGACCTGGCCTCCAGCCGGACTCCGGTCGGCCCGCCGAAGCCGCCGCGGCTGCACAGCGCCGGTGACCTGTGCGACGTACCGAGGCGGGGCACGCCGCCACACATCTCCGTCACGGCGCCCCCGGAGCCGGTGTGGTACGAGGACCGGCGCGTGGGGCCGCCGCCGCCCGCCGACACCGTGGACCGACTGAAACTGGCCGGCTCGTTCGACTCGCTGGACTCGGAGACCATGGTCTCCGTGGGAGAGATGGCCGACCTGGGTAGGTCACCGCTCAAACAACTCGCAGAATTGGTTAGAAACATCCCCACTGTCCATACTAACGTGATCACGAACAATGTCCGTCCACTACCTTCACACGATAAAAAACGTATCAATATGTTGACTTTACTTGATATCAGCAAATAGCCTTTGTATCCACTCATTTCCTGTGTACTGGATTTGTTGACCATTAATTTGTTAATTGTGGTATCAGTTGGCACCTATCAATATTCAAACAGTTTGTTCAGGGTGAATGAGGGCTGTTTGATTTTACGCCACCCATATGATCTCATGAAAAACCACAAATAGCACGGATAACGGGAAAACTACATCTCTGTAATTCGAACATTGAGTGGTAGGTACCTATTCGCACTCGACATAAAAGCATGGTTACCATCTACCGCAACATCATTTTCGCTGAAACCCGACACATTTGAATCACTGCCTAAATCTCGTTTCCCGTCTCTGACTCTGCAGCGGAGCCACGCTGTCGCCCCTCCGTCCACACTGTCTGGAAGTCGGTGCGGGGAGGCCTATCGGCACAGGATGTGTCGTGCAGTGGCGAACTCTGAGACACAGCGCAGGATGGCCTCCCTGCACTCACGCAGACGATGAGGCGCAGTACAGGGTGTGTCCCGCTACCCAGTACTCATACCCACAGTGGCAGACTATGCCCTGAGGAGAGTATATGCCGTCAGCAAAGTATATGCCCTCAATAGAAAAGCCAGTAAAAACAGAAAAAAAAAAACAGAAAAACAGCACAACATAAAAAACAGTAAAAGCCGTCAACAGAGTAGGTATACAGTAGGTAATAGGTATGTATGCTGTCAGAGGGGTATATGCCGTCAGCCGCAGTGGCAGCACGGATGGACGGACCGATGCTTACCCGCTGAACGGTGCAGCACAGACACAGATAGCTGAACACGATACAGCTGAAAAAGCACGGGACAGCGGCATGTGGGGTGAAGGAATGACGCTGCTCAGCTATCTGTTTATGTTGCAGAATAATGCATTATGGATGTGCTCGCTATTTGTCCTCACAAGTCACAAGTCAATTCCAGCCAACGGATTTCCTATTAGGATGGCATCAAGTATCAACCCTTGAGGAAGACATTCATTATGATTTAATGGAACTCGAAGCGAGAGCTCTGTGCGTAATGCTATATTAAAAAAAAACTATGCCAGTATGAAGACATGCGACTTTTATCTACCGAACCGTCTCCTAAATAGAAATGTCTTGCTGTCTGTTTTTAGCACCTCGGCTGTCTCGATACTCGATTATACCTGCAATAAGTCAAATCTTAACCAAATGTCCGTTCTGCCTCAAATGCTCCCAAATTATAGCCGTTTTGTGGCACACTCGCCCGAATATCCATGCTTTCCAGTGCAATGTCACCCAGTATGACCCGACCCAGTATGACCCACTGTGACCCATTACGTTCCCGTTACAGACACGCTGCTGGCTGACCTGCAGAACAGCATTGGTTACGGGCAGCCCAGTTCTAGCCACTCGTCCCCGGCCCGGCCCAGGAAGGCTGTCACACTGCAGCGCGATGCCAGCCCGGTGAGTCGCGCAGGCTGCATCGTCAGTGGCGGATCCAGGGGGGGGGGCAAAATGGGCATTTGCCCCCCCCCCCCAAACGGCATAATTTTAACATTACGCCTATGGACGAGGCATGGAAAGAATCGATAAATTGTTATGGTTTGCCCCCCCCCCCCAAAAAAAAACTCCGAGCTGGATCCGCCTCTGTGCATCATCATGGTAGCCATAGATGGATTTACTCGTACTGATGACCCGGTCGCCGCTACAGGGGAAAGAAGGCGGGGTCGGAAGGGGTGGGACACTAATGCCATACAGAATGCCGGCTGCGCTTAGCAACATGCTGTAGAAATAGGAGTTTGTTGCACAATGCACGTCCTTACTGAGGTGTTTATCGCAATGTTATATATATGTTGGCTGTCTTGGGTTAACTTGCATTCGTTACATCAGTAAAATCCCTTGCAAAGGAGCTTTTAATTGCGCTCCATGGAGTGCAGTTTCATCTGCTGAAGAAAAACGATTTCTTTCAAACGATAAGCTTCCGCTATGGTTTTGTAGTTGTTATGACACCGTGCACGCTCTAAATGCAGTTGTACTCAAAACACCGCCCATGTACATACTCTTCGAGAAGGAAGGACTCCCAACCTGCAACAACATTCAACAGCCATTTTCTCACTCTCTGCAACAGCTGCGGTGACTGACGACCGAGCCGATCCGGCGTAAATGCGTCTAAACAATAAACATGTTTATCTTGGGCTCGGCGCCGGGTACTTCCCTCGGTAATACGGCGGCGATGTAAGCCACCGGATATCATCGGCAGGGGTTTTATGACATCCGGTGGCTGTAAACGGGTGCCGGCCCGGTCTGTTGCGCGGCAATGAGCCGGACCTAGGGCTGTAACTCCTTTCACGTGTGACATCGGCATGTGATCTGATCGGTTCGCCTCGTGCATGGGTTTGAGGAGCCACACTTCGCCAAGAAACCTGTTTGCGGCAGGAAATTTTGCTGTTAAGCAGTAATTGAATAAAACAAGTGCAAAATGCGAACATACAGTGGTCATTTTATTCAATACTGCGCGAAATTGAACCTGATAAGCAGAAACTGACTTACCTTTCCTTTTAACCATTATCAAGTTTGATGCTAGATGTTCAGTGACTTTTCTTCGATGGCATACCCTTGACCCAAATGAGGGCTTTGGTCTCTTATTATTTATTCCCTCCTTATCACGCACACCAATATTCAACAATCATCAATTCGGGTAGCATCTCCAGGCATCAACCTACCTCTCCTGCGTCATTCTGCGCTTGTAGGATCTCCATTGTGAGCACCTGTGTATCAGATGTCCCCCCGCGTGACCTTCCCCTCCCCCCCCCCGCCCCCGCCGTCCTTCCGGCCAGAGCACTGTGCCGTCCGGCTGCGGGGGCGGACCCGGGCTCCAGCATAGCCGGTGTGTGCTGGCGGCGCTCTTGACATTCCAGCACGCGTGCCGGGCCATATAGAGAGGTGCCGCGGGGTGCACGGCGGCGCACGTCTGCCGCGGACGGTTCTGCTGCTCAGTTTGCTGCGGTCGACCCCAGCTGGGAGGTGTGACTGAAACGGGTCAGCTGTGACGGGCGCTGTGACGGGTAGTGTGACGGGAGTGGCGACTGGTGGGATAGTTTTGTGTGGGGTTGTGCTGAACTGTGAACGCAGGTGAGACTGTGGACGAGAGCTCCCACAGTGAACACTAACAGCTGGCTCAGCCGTGTATAGCATTTCCGCCAGCGCCTTGCCGAAATCGAGCTCTGAGGAGTCGTATTTTCTGTAAGTGCATTTGCTGCCCAAACGGAATCTGATACACGCTGGGCCGAGAACCACTCGGTGTGGATTACGGAGTCATCAATAATGTTATCTGTTAAGATTTTGTCGAGCGCTGAACTAAAGACTGTGAGTATCCAGTGACAGAGCCGGGGACTCTCCTTTTAGCTGCTTCGCCTACCAGGCACGCCAGAGCAGGTGAGACCTCAGACCTGGTGGCCGCTCTCCGTCGTCGGACTGAACCGGGTGGAGTGGCCACTGCAGTCCCTGGTTACAGCGGACCACCGCCCTCCCTCCGACAGCAGCCCAGCACCAATAAGGCAGTCAAGGGCGGGCCACTCGACTAAAACCAGGCACGCCCCGACCCTGGGCCGGTCACGTGGAGTTAAATCCCAGCCTAAAACAGGATAGGATATTGCTCGTACGGATGAGATAGATGATGCTGATTTACGAGGTGAAAACCCGTTTATTGCTTATGATGGGTTTGATGGGTTGTACTACGTTGGAATGTAAGTTGCAACGTCATGGTAGCCATTGAGGGATTTGCTTGTACTGATGAGCTCATCGGTTATTTACAGGCATAGGAAATGGTCGATACAGGAAGAGCAGTAATAACTGTACTACCTATGTGTAATCCGTATTGTATTGTATTGTATTTACGATCATGGGCGATCCACACATGGCGTGGCGATTACTGCCCAGTAGGCATCTTTTGGGTAAAACAGACGCGATTAAAATTTAAGTTTCTATTTACTCACTTCGTATATATTATCTTCCATTTTCATTATCCCTACCTATATCCTAAACACCACGCAGCGGTGGGACTGCCTCTGGGCTGAAAACTAGTGCAGCGGTGAGAGCGGTCGGTTCAGCACCGGGCGGGGGGGGGGGGACCGGGCGGGCCCACCACTGCACTGGCGACTGCCAGCCTGCCTGCGGGTGCGGACTGTCGGCCGACGCCCAGCGACCCTGCACTGTTCGCGCGTGGGCTGGGACGCGGATGTAGCTACCACCTGTTCACGTTTAACCATCTCATCATTTTGCATTGTCTGTTCACTGATTTACCACCTAATTACGTCACAGCACCTGTTCACTAATGTACACATATGCTCACTGACGTGTTATGTATTTACTGATGTAACACCTGTTCAATGTTTATCACATGTTCACGCCTATACCAGGTGCTATAGCCGACAGTAGCCGTGTCTTGTAGTTCACCGATCTGCCACATATTACTACTGATATTCGCGGCTCTAACGCCTTGCTGGACAGTTCACTAACTATGCTAACATCATAACATCTGTTCACGATGAGCCACCGATTCAGTGTTGACTGTGGACGTCCCATAACCGTCCATGCGCTACCATCTGTTGGGCTCATGCCTGACGCCTCCGTGATCTAGACACTCTGTTGGCTGAGTAAAGGCCGATCGCCCACTGGTGGCAGTTCCTGCTCCTGGAACCACCCGCCACAGTGGGGTCACGACAGGGAAAAAAACAAAGAAGAACAAAAAAAAATTGTTGAGACCATGACCGATGGTCCGTCCCCTTCGCTGGCTCGTCTCTGACTGTCCTATATCCCGCGCTCCCCTCGTGCCTCCCGCCCCAGCCCGCCCGCTCCGCTTATCTCTCTCCCTCCCACCCTCCCTCCCTCTCCCTCGCTCTCTCCGGCATCTGTCTGCCCTCGCCCAACGCCTCTTAGCCGGGGGGCCGCTAAGTTGCCATTGGGCTCATGCCTGACGCCTCCGTGATCTAGACACTCTGTTGGCTGAGTAAAGGCCGATCGCCCACTGGTGGCAGTTCCTGCTCCTGGAACCACCCGCCAAACCCCGCCAAACGGAGCGACCACGCAATAGGCCACGTAGCTAATTGTAAGCTCCTAAGAGCTTCCACAGCCACTCGTAGTGTTCCCTGGAGATCGGGACCGGAACCATCCGGAGCGGTCTGCCCCCAAGGGCAGGAACCCGAGAGCTGGTCCAGACCACTGTAAGCTCCCAAGAGCTCACAACCACTCGCCATGCTCCCTTGAGCTCGCGACAGGAAAACCCCCGTAGCAGTCTGCCCCCGGGGCAAGGAACTCCCAAAAGCTTAACCAGCCAACTGCAAGTTCCCAATTGAGCCCCCACGGCCACCTATCATACTCCCTTGAGCTGCGCCAGGAAACGCCCGTAGCGGTCTGCCCCGAGGGCATTAAGCTCCCAAGAGCTCGCGCAGTCAAGTGGAGAGCTCCCGAGAGCTGCCACGGCCACCCGTCATGTTCCCTAGAGCTCGCGCCGGGGAAAACACCCGAAGCGGCCTGGCCTTAAAGGCAGGAAGCTCCCGAGAGCTTGTTTAGCCAACTTTAAGCTCCTAAGAGCTCTCGAAAATCGCAGCCATCCGTGATGCTCTCTTGCGCTCCCTAGAGCTCGTGGCATGAAACATACGTAGCGGTCTGCCCCCAGGGCAAGATGCTCTCAAGAGCTCGGAGCTCGCATAGCCAAATGTAAGCTCCCAAGAGCTCTCGTCAGCAACCTTAGAGCAATAAGCTCCCGAGAGCTCGCACGGTTACCCGTCATGCTCAATAGAGCTCCCGCTGTGAACACTCTTAGCGGTCTGCCCCCAACGGCAAGAGGCTCCTAAGAGCTCGCACAGCCAACTGTAAGCTCCCAGGAGCTCTCGACACGAACCCCATAGAGGCTTCCCCCGAGGGCAATAAGCTCCCAAGAGCTCGCACGGCCATCCGTCGGCTCCCAAGAGCTTGCGACAGTAACACCCGTATCCGTCTGCTCCCAAGGACAATAGGCTCCCGCCGGCTCGAGCAGGCGCTTGTGCTCCTAAAGCTTCCAACAGTAGCGCCTATGCGGTCTGCCCCCAAGAGCAATAGCTCTGAAGAGTTTGCGCAGCCACCCGTCCGGCTCCAACGAGCTCTAGACATTGGCACCCATAGCGGTCTGCCCCCAAGGGCAAGAAGCTCTCGCGAGCTCGCGCAGCCATCCTTCAGGCTCCCAATATCTCTCTACAGTAGCACCCATAGCGGTCTGCCCCCAAGGGCAATGAGCTCCCGAGAGCTCGCACAGTAACCCGTCATGCTTCCTGGAGGTCGCGACAGAAAACTATCGTAGCTGCTAGCCCCCAGGGCAAGAAGCTCCAAAAGCTCGCCCGGCCACCGGTCAGGCTCCCAAGAACTCTCGACAACAGTGGCCTTGGCGGTCTGCACCAAGGGCAGTAGTACCCAATAGCTCGCGCAGC